AAAGGGTTTTTTACAACCTTTTCTTATAATTTAAGATTATTTTTTTCAATACAAAAAATTATTTATCGTATACATTTCTTATTCTCATTTAATAAAGAGCACTTGTGAGTACTCCCTAATATTAAATTCCCAAAAATCCTTATCTTTTCCCATTTCATTTTATATGAGTCGTAATGAAATGTTCTCTTTTATTGAAATAAATTCACGGCAAGAGTTTGATCTCAATTAATTTATTTGCTTCCGCTTTTAAATTAACAACTATTATTTTAAATTATCTTTAATAATGAAAAGAGTTTATACTAAGAGTTATTAAAAAAAATTGTTGATATGTTGTATTCATGTAAATTGTGGTCATAGATTATGATGACTAATTTTAAGCATCTTAAGTAATTGTAACGTTCAATTGACATTTTATATTATTTATAACGTGCATATATTTATATAATTATAATTGTAAGCCCTGAGCAGTCGCTTGCAGAGTCTAATATTTTTAAGCTTTTTATCATGGATTTGTGATTCCCTTCTATAGTTACTAAAATAACAAAATGCAAAAGGTTAATAGCTATTGAAGACAAGTAATATGTTTCTCATCTTGCCTGTCCATGAGAATGACAAGACGTAACAGTTACCTCCATGTTGAAGAGAGACATGTATGTACATAGACAATTTCAAGTAAGGATTTTCTTACTAGTTAAAGTTTTTACTTAGAGCAATAGCTCTATAGCATCGCAATCGCAATAGCAATAATAATTGCTTTGAGATCAACTGATCAACTCACATATTGAAATTAATCACTACTTATTAGCACTTAATCATTAGTTTGCCTTAATGGCTCTTATAAAATATTAAAAAACGTCTCCTTAATTTCCATTTAAATCCTGATACATTGTTAAGTCTAGAAGATATTAGGAAAACATCCCTTAGATATATGTGCAATTTTTTATTTAAATTTATTAATGCTATAAAGTAACGAAAAACCCGACTAAATTAGCATGAAGTATCTAGAGGAAATTTTAACATGTAATCAAGCAATATTAATAAGTGGAGTATTAGTTGGTGGGCTAACAGCTAGTGAATTAGCTGTGGCAATTTTAATTAATATTAAAATGTTATAAAATCATATGAAGTGAAGTAATATTCTAAAACGACTTTTACTTAATTGATGTTGTTTTTAGTATGGAAAAAGGCTTTATAGATTTAAATTTATAAATTCAATACTATGAAATAAAAATATTGAAGCTCAATCGCATTAAGAAATACCATTACCATTATCATACCTTTCCATCCTGCTTATTTTATGATCTATATACATGTATACGCAGGGAATATAAGACGCTCCTATCTGAGGCACAAGATATACACAATCTATAATATGTAGTTGATGAAAGGCCTTAGAGGTTGTGTATGTCACTTGGAAAGCAATGTCGTGTCCAGACATTAGATGGCCGATGACTGAATTATGGGAATATAACTATATGGTAATGTTTGAAGTTTGATAGGAATAATTAGAAATATAGTCACAAATAATAATAAAGTGAATCTTGCAATACCTTTGCTACATGCTATCGTACATATAGTGTATGCACGAGTATGGATTATATTTTGTTATTAACGACTAGCTCTTCCCAGTAACATCCTGCCTGATTAGCTTGCTTGCGCTGTGTTCGATTACGATGAAATTTGAAAATTTTCTATCTCATTTAACTATTCCCATTTGGTTCTCTCATCTGAAGCAGAAGTTTCAATTTCTGGTTTTCTAAAATGGGAATATGACGTCGATAATTTTGTTATTACCCTTACATTACTCAAAATCTGTTGAACGATGCGATCAATTTACCGTCTGCGCCATAAAATTAAATTATGGAATATTTAATTTTGGCAAAACAGTATTCAACAACTAAATGAAATATGATATATATTTTCACACAATTTTATAAAATGAATATGTAGATCTTGTTTATCACAATATATGTAAAGCTTTACATTTTTTGAAACTTTACCCATAAAAACATAAACAATTTTGTTCTGTAATATAGATTTTCTTTAACTATACCAGGTTCTTTTATAAAATATTAACTAGAGTGCATAGTATGAATTACAGAGAACGTGCATTCTCTTACATTTCTTAAATAAATCAAGAAAATTTTATTGAATCGTAGCCAGAGAAATGAAAGCATCGTCAAGATTGGAGGTCTTTGATATGACTGAAACTAGGTTACAGTCTAGATCTCAGATTTGATTACTAACAAGTTTATGATATTGATGAAACTTCGAGATTAACTTACAAAGATTGGGAGTTGTGAAGATTCGCATATTTGATTGTCGTATTTGTAAAGTTTTAATAAGTTTACAAGTTGAAGCATATTGTTACTTAGCGATTTAATAAAGTAAAATAAATTCTGAAAAGATACTCTCAGTAATGATGATTGACGACTTTATCTAGAGGAAATATAATAACGAATAAAAAGATAAACAATAGTATTTCATAAAAAATCCTCTTTGAAAATCCGATAAGAGTGACCTTTTGCTGCTGAATTGGCTTTTAGCTTTGTTCGTGGCTTGAATACTACGGATATCGACTTCTTACGGAACATGTAATAGGTTATTCTCAACGGAGCTTTCAAAATAATAACATCATAATATATTTTTCTTTATATCTTTCAGGCCTAATACCGAAAAAGAGTGTGTCAAATGTGTATTTTAATATTGACATTATGAATAACATTATATTAATATTTTAATTCTGTCAGTTTGTTCGTCTCTTTCGTTGCTCAATATTGACTGTATTCTTAAATTCTAAGGAAAACAAACAACCTTATACAATAACCTATTGGTGACATTTACTTTTCTTTGTATTAAAATAATATTTTTTCCAAATATTTTCTTTTGATGAAAGTAAAAGTTTTAAGGTTCAAGAAAAACAAAACAAAATAAATTGTTACAAATGCGAATAAATGTCAAGTCCAAATTAATTTCGTCTTCAAAGTAAAATGACAAATGATTTTCTATAAAATTACGTTTAACAACACTCATGAAACGCGTTGAGAATAACGTGTAAAGGTCAAGAGTATTTGAAATAAACTTTTCTATCATAAAGTACTGCCTTACACCAAACTAAATAAATACCTATTTTTGGATTTGAACTTTGTCTCAAAGTCTTCTTAAATAATAAAGGTATTTTAAAATCTGTATGCCTCTCATGAAATAAAGATTTGGTTTAAGCTCCTATTTCATTTATATTTTAATTTTTTTTGTGGTCAAAAGCAAAATAAGTTAACATTTTTTTCTTAGTCAATGTTTTACACATTAACTTAAAAAATAAAATGCCAATATGTCAATACGGAAAACATTATAACCCCTTAAAAAATACCTGTAAGAAATATTGATATAGATTATTTTCTTGAGCTCTATTTCTCAGCAGTAAATATCGTTACATTTGAATACATGATAAGCATTAATCTTATCATTAGCATAATTTTGAATATCCTATTACAATATATAAAGCTTTTTACTATATTATGTAGAAATGTGGTGATTTGTATCCATTTGTTTACAGTAGCCACAGTTATTAGTCAGTAATACCACGAGATTATAAAAATAATATTTATATTATATTTATATTAATACTTATGAGATTTTGCATCTCAAAATATATAAGATGGTAACAATCTTAGAACTGCAAATATATTTGTTATGCAAAGCCGGCTTACGCAATGGGACATGCTCTCAGGATCGTGGAGCTCTCGTAAGCCGGGATTAGCAATGGCCACCGTTTATTTAAAACAGAGGAAGCCAATGATAAGAGCTTACAATTAGCTAATACTAATGTATTTTTAATGAGTACAGACTGAAATGCTCGGAAGTTATTTTACATTGCAATTGATTCCTATTTTATTCAAAATTGAATGAGAATTTAATTTGTTTTTAGATATGATTCTCAGAATTACTCATGTATTGGTTTCAGTTTCACTCACATATATTTTATGAAATTTTTCTTCTTATTTGTTATCGTATCCACTGTGTATCCTTTTACAGATTGCAGTTTATGTAGAAAATGTTTTAACTTCTATATTTCCATATAAATTTATATTTGAAAGTGTTTTTTATATAATTATAGGTACTATTACGTTATAAGGAAAATGAATATGTGATTAAAACAGTCATCATATTATAATAATATCAGAATATTGTCAAGTATAATATCAATAGAGGTGTAATTCAATTTAATTAAAGTGGTCCCCTGTTTATATGAATATAACTATGCTGATACTTGTCTTTCATACGTAAAATACAGTTTAAGTTACATTTAGGTAAAACTGAATCGCTTCCTCACGAGTAGTTCAAAGCCTTCATATTAAATAAAGCGTGAAATAAAATTGTATACAAATAACTCACATATTATGAATGTCTTGTGAATCTATTCAAATACAAAGGTTCCATTTTCTTCTATATTTTTCCTTTACATCTACCTTTCAACGCGTCGATGCGAATCATTTATTGGTTACTCTTCAAAATAAATATATCTTAATAGAAATTCTTGGTATCTGATTTTATTTTGAGGGAAGAGAATTTTATATTGTATATAACTACATAATATAATATGTATAATATGTAGTATAATAAACATACTGTGAGTGACATTATACTATCGGTTTGACCTTTCAGATAAATAACAATTACTTACGGGGGCCGTAATGATGCTCTCTCAACTATAATTGTGAGACCCTAATTTTTGTCAAAGTCACACAATGAACCCATTAAAGGGAAAAGTTGAAGCGTTTTTGTTACAACTGCAGGATGTTAAATTTAAGAGGATTTAAAAGATTTATTGTCATTAAAATTAATTAAAAAATTGATGGTTGTGATTTCACAATATAATTATAACATCAATATTTAAAGTATTCTATTTATTGTGTAAATTAAATGAATTATCAATATGGAATAAGTAATTTAATTAATGCGAGTCCATATGTTTTTTTATCGTTTATTGCTACAACAAAATGAGAGGTATTTTTATGATATGTAACATATATTTGTAAGGGTTTCTTGATAAATATTTGTATTTTTTGATGCTACTATTTTTCCGTCTAAGAATAAGATACCCAATAGATAGATCTATTATGATTTATATTGATTTTATATGACCACAATTTTTCTATGATATATTATATGGTATATTATATGATACATTATATAGTTACTATGTATAAAATAGGACAGCTAAAACAATTTTAAATATAAAGAGATAAGTCGTAATTTCTTATGATGACTGATTTAATTTGAAACAATTTTCCATTTATTGTCTAATCACATTTTGCTACCTTCAACAAACAATAATAACAAAGAAATCGTATAACTTTTTCTACAAAAACAAAACAATTTTAAGGACTAAAGCTTAAAGCAAAAACGAACGTAACACCCAGAAACTCTCAGGGATATTCATATTTTATGTATGTATAAGATGTTTCCTATGCAATATATTAATATTAAAAGTATATACATATATGTACCATATCTTAATTCATTACAATTTAAAATAAGGTAATTATACAAATACCTTCAAAAAGATTAAAACTCCTGCATTTTATAGTGAATACGAAATTATTCGATAGAATTCCTGAACGGTATTTGCCATTATGATTACAGTTTAAACAAACTCTAACAGTTTCATTCAAGAGACTCGAACAATTCTGAATTCAAAATTTTGTCGGAGTTTTGACGTTGTTAGTGAAAATTAGGTATTTCAACAATACTTTTTTTGTATTGAAATATGCTGATCAAAGTTCGGATGAGAAAATTCTAAACTTGAATAACAATTTGTAAAATTCCTCAGTACTTTTATTATTTTGAAAATAAGGAATTTTGATAATAAAGCGTTGTATAAGTCCATTAAAATCAATTAATATTTTGGTCATGTTGAATATATGTATTATAAAATAAGTACATTTATATAAATGGTTGCCGAATAAATAAAATATTTCATTTTTTGTATTGTAGTTTCATATTTTTCTAGGATATAAATGACAGATAATTTCTTAACTACGGTATCATCTTTGAATACTCCTGTTGCTAGGCAATGATCCGGATTATGTTATAACGCAGTATGTTAAAAAAAATGATCAATTCTTTATTCAAACACTGAAAAAATATAAATTTACACGTGCTATATTCATGTTTATTTAAATATTTTCCTGTCTTAAATATGAAAGGAAAATTCATTACGTCTTATCCCTACTATGCTTTATGAATTTTTTATTTTTGTATAAGCGTTAAAAGCAGTAGAAGGAAATAACCAGCCTCTTGCATATTACATGGAGCTAAATAGAGGTGTTTTAAACGACTTAAGATGTAGGTCAATGTACTATATCTTGCTTCTTATATTATAAAATCCTATTTTACTATCTAGAAGCTAATATTATATGCAATCAAGAAATACTCAGTAAAAAATCAATCGTAATGTAAAGTAGCTAATTCGTTTATTTTTTTTTGTATTCGATTAAAATTGAAAGTTTAGTGAACACTCTGTAAGATAAAGGGCCCTTTTTTTGATTGGTAAATTATCCAATAATTTAGTAAATAACAGACTAAAACGCTTCGTATTCATTGTGAGTAATAGCCAAAAAAGGGATTGGCTAATAATATTAACAAATATATCATCGCATTAAAAATAAACAAACTACAATTAGCTAAGACCAAAAAAAATAATGTATATATGAAAATTAAATGCAACTTTTATCATAGTAAGTATAACAAGTAGTAACACTTTCATTATGTTGGAATTTAAAAAACAAAATATGCTTTCCTTTCAAAATACAGTGGATTTTGATTTTAAGGTTTTTTATATTTTAACTAGGGGCCACAAAAGGCCTTTGTTAATTTTGGTTTTGTGTAAACGCTGGATTGGTATTTAAAAGAGCTTTTGAAAATCCAGTTTTATCTTCAAGAATTCCCAATTTTGTTAAAAATGCATGAAAAACTAAACGGTCTAAAGTTTGGATCGTAATTCTATTGATAAAAGCCTTTAATTTTTTTGATGCTCTAAATAAATGAAAGTTGTTCTAAAAATATTTATTTCCAAGTTTTACAAGATAGTGTATAATAGAGATGCCTCTGTAGGCGTTATTGCTTGCAGATTCTCTATCTGAAAGATTCATAAACATTATTACTTTTTTAATGTAGTGAGATGTATATATAGTTGTACAACTTTTTTCATATTAATATAACAAATGTACTTCAGACTAGAAAAAAAAATTTTTTATACAAATGGGTAGAAAAAGTACTTTCAGGATATTATGTTCAAATGATTATGAGAAATTTCATTTCCTCATTTTGTAAACTGTCGATAATATCTTTCCTTCAACACTAAATATATTTAAGGAAAGATTTCAAATACCAAAGGTGAATCTAAAAGTCAAGATATTGCCTTAAGGAAATGGGACATTATAATTTTTCCTTAACTTTCAAGATTAATTCATAATATAAAAAATTCCACCATTATTACAAATTACGTATACTTACATATATAATATGTACCATGTAAAAGTTGTGAGGATTAATTACATATATTCCTTTATCATTCACTACCCTTTGCGACACGTTACTTTTGTTTTCCATGCAGAAATTGTACCCACATTTTATATACATATATTTATATAAATATCTTTTCAATAATACAATCCATATAAAAAATTGTTTTATGGTCGAGTTTATTAAACTAATAGGACATACACATCTGATCTGAAGAAGCAGAAATGAGAAACGTATTTTATAAAAAACGCTCTACATCAGAAAAAGATAATTACCAGCATTAAGTAATCATTCAAAGTGGAATGTTAATAGGTCTTAAAATTATCTGCGTTCAACTGAGCTTCTATAAGTCTCTTTCATCTTACATGAGCATCATTGTATGAATTTCATATATGAAATTATACTCATTGAATGGCTACTAATTAGTAGTTTAACGAGGTGTCTGCTATGATGTTTATACATACATACATGGAAGTGCTCGGGAATTAACTTTAAAACAAACTTTTCTCGCATTTACCTCCGTTGGGCCGTTTTTAATTATCGGTTTATTATTTAATCGGCTAACTCATGCAATTTCAATTGTATAAAAGCGAACATATTGATAAATAATTATGTAGTTTTCTATAATATAAATCTCTTAGGAAACACTAAATGTTTTTTTTTTCGTGTTTGAAGTAACGATTATTGACCAATTTAGATTTGAAACTATTTAGATATATATATACAATATATATACATATATATATATATATACCTATGAGAGACCCATTTAAATGAACTAAGACTCTATAAAAAGATAATTCTCCGATAAATGAGCAAATGAATTAGTGAGTTAGTTTACACAACCTTCAAGTTTTAACTGTGAAGACTATCATCTTGAAACTTTGGATACATATCAATGTCAATGTTAGCGAGAACCATCTACAATGCTTGTCATAACGCAAAAACTTACTGAGTGAGTGTTTCACACTGATGGAGAAAAGTTTAAAATTTATTTTATGTCAAAAGCGTTTTATCGAATGTACAGTACAATAAAAAGTAAAACCTTTATTCACTGTTTATTTTAAGCTGTTCAGTTTGTCTATAGACGTGGACGTCTCCCAGTTTCTTCCATTTCTCCTATCTCTGGTTATCCTTTTCTAACTCTTTGGTAAGTTGTCCTCCCATATTTTAGTTTGGCATCATATTTGGCATTTTCATTCCTCAGATACCATTCTATTTCATCCTTAATCCAATTTACTTTGTCAGTCCTTATTTTATGCGAAAATTTCGACCAATATTTTCAAATTTTTTGTACAACGTCCCTGACCTTAGGTTTTTTCTTTATTTTTGAATTTGTTTATGTATCATGTAGTCTTATATTAAGCATACTTTTCTAAATGTCGTGTTAGAAGACCAAATGTTTCTGGTTCTTTTATTTGTCGCAGGTACCTACAACGGAAAATTTTACATATATATAATGATACTCAAAATATAATACCAAAAGGAATAAGCCATTTAATAAAAAAAATATAGAAAGATTTGTGGCTCGTATACTGAGAATTTAATACAGTTCTGTCATCTTTTATTTGTCGTCCAATTGGAGTATGTGTCATGTACAAGTGGGTGTCATGATATTATTTAATTAAATTAATGAAAACTTCCTACAATTTTGTACATGTACATATAGTTATGTGACCTATTGGTAATACTATCATATCATACTATTAACGTAATACTAAGTACCAAGAAGCATATTTGACCTGCTTTACTTACTTTTTTTTGGAGTAAAGACTCCACAAAGGTATAATAGAACAAAATACAGAAATTAATTAAATATTCCAAATTGAATAAATCAATATATCTATATTCGTTTGTGAGGCTTGATTTATTTCATCTAAAATGTAATTAACTTTTAGCGCGTATTGAAAAGTACTTTATGTCAGATGTACATAATTCTCGTTGATTCAATTTATTTACACTCACAACGTATGGTGAAACAAAAATTTTATTAAGTAAATAGTACCGCGTTATATTTTTCTGTTATTTATTTAAGTTTTAAATAATTCTTGTTTTTGTTACATTTATTATTAGCAATTCCATAATTAAAAAAGTTTCAAACCATTCACTTCAGTTAACACAACAGTTTTCAATTCCTATTAATATTTTGCACCGTTTTGCAGTTTTTGTAAACGATTTGTACATTTATGGATTTTTGGTTAGTAAGCCCACTTTTTTATTCAAAATAATTGAGCTTTTTTATATTTATCATTTTACATATACGTATGATAAGATGTAATCACACGGGTTACATGTAATACTCAGTTTATTCTTTATGAAGCAAATGGTCATTGTTTTTCCAGTTTTTAGTTGTATTGCTACGTACAACATTAACAAAATATTTCTTTGCAGTGATAGTTACAGCACACAATATCACTTATTTGGAGGTGCCCCAATATGGTGACCCACGACGCGATGCCGACCTTACTTGCCACTATGTCAACGAAAAGGGGGACCCACCACTCCACTCTGTGAAGTGGTATAGAGACACCAACGAGATATTTCGTTTCACACCCGAACAACAGGTGAATATCATAATTGATACACTCAACAAATACTATGAAACATTAATAGTAAAGCAAGTTTATAATTTTATCTCTAAACATATCTTTAAATTGTATAAATAAACCGTTACCCACCAAATGTGTGAGTCGGATAAGGCACGCCCCATTAACCACTCGTAATATGAACACAAAGAACATTCTTGATTTTATTACTTTAACGCCTTCAACAAGGTTAAGAGTGTATGATAATATTATGAAAAATGTATTCATTACTAAGCAACTATAAAATTGGACATAAAATTTATTAATTTCCCTAAACATTCAAACATATTTTCAATATTACCAGAACCCAAAAATAAATGTTATAATAAAGAAAAATTTTAATTCCAATCACAACCCCAATATTATATGAATACAAATTAATTTGTTCAATGCTACTGATCTATATATCAATATTGCAAATATTAATACGACAGCTATATTTATAGCGATATATGAGGCTTATTTGAATATGATTATCATATCCATATATTTGTGGTATAACTAACCCAAATGTTGTTATTAATGTTTAATATTACATTATGGGGTAGTATTTGGAATATTTTCTTCGATTATGCTATAAAAAAAATACAATGTAGTATTAATTTTAAACTGTGGCAGGACTTCTTATATTTATATTTAGATATAAATGACTGATAAATAAATCATATAAAAATTGAGACGTAACAATTTTATTATTAATGTAAATTCAATAATATTTTTTATTGTATTTAATTATACGAGAACCACCAAACACCACGAAAAAGATTTATTTGAAATTCTAACTATTTCAGATACATATTTCTGTTGCAATTTTATTTAGATTAAAAATTCATTGTGATGAACAAAAAATTATGCTCGTGTCAACTTTTTTTATAAGTCGGGAGCTTGTTTGAACAAAGGAAGATTGCTATTTATAAATGCAATAAAGTAAAACGAGTGAAATAAAATGCAGGCTCCAGATATTAGGTACCATCCATTTTAACGTTATTCTTTTGTATTTTATTTGAATTATTATTTATTTTCTCTACAGCATTTATTTGTGAAGATGTTAATGGAAATAAGTTTGTGGCATGATGTAAAATAAAACACAAGACATTATTGTAAAGGCCACTAACAAAATTAAATTTTCTGTTAGATATTACGACAACATAATATTTTTTTAAATTGGCTACAGAAAAGATATAATTCAATATTCTTTCATGCTTAGAATCGTTGTTATACATTTTTTTGTCTGTAATCCTTCACAAATCATATTATTTTTATCATAATAGCCATTTTACGAAACTCTTAGCACAAATATACCAGTAATTCAAGGACAAAAACTTCTGACATAAGAATGCAAGTAATATTTGAATAAGCAAAATATAGAACTAAAGATTTCATTAACACGAGCATGATTCGTACCTTGATCCTTTGGAACATAAATATCCAGTTATTGTATTAAGTTATGGTACGAAATACTTATACAAGTATAAGGTCAATATTAGTTTATCTGATGTTAAAAATATAATTATATTAAGTAGCCAATAAGTCAGCAATTACCACATTATGTTTTTACATGGACACGTTAGCTATTTTATATATTGCATTCTTTAATATCCTTTAATTTTCCTCAAGCCTCCAACCCGAACATTCAATACGACGGCTGGTGGTGTGTCTCGTGGTTTCTGCAACATGCACAGCTGTTCCATCAGCGTGGTGCTACCAAAGAAACACAACACCAGGATTTCCTTCACTTGCGAAGTTTCCACTGAGGGACCTCGGTTTGCTGTTGTTAATCAGACCAAGTATCTGACGGTAGCTGGTAAGTTTGCTGATTCAAAAACTAGGCCAAATATTTAGTATTAGGAGTCATACTATATATAATAGTTAACCACTAGGATACATGAACCACTAGAACAATGCAAGTAATCATAAGTATTGCTTAAACTGTTAATATATATTTATTGTTTTATTTGCCAGTAACTCTAAAGGAGGATCCCGTTATAACTGGAGCTTCAGGCAGCGTTCAATTGGGGGAAGATGTTCTTTTGAACTGTTCCACCAAACCAGCGATGCCACCAGCAAATATCGTTTGGTTTATAGATGGAAGGCCTGAAAAGGTGTGTAGAAATATTTGTTGGCATTCAGAGGCAGTTTATAATATATCGTATTAAAATTTCTGACTTATTGATTTCAAACAAACACATTTTAATACATATTTGAAAATAGATTTACGTTCGTTTATTTCTCAATGAGGACAGGCAAAAAGATTACAATTATAAAGAATACCATTTCGGAATAAAGTAGAATATTTTAATATAGAGTTTATATTGAAGTAGATACTGCAAGAAATATTTTTCTTTCGCTAACTTTAAAATTAATTGTAAAACGATATTATAGGACGAATGTGATCTGGTTCTGATAGCTTGTAACGCAAATTATTAATATTTTCTTCAGGCTGTTTTTCTTTATTGTTAAAACCACTTCGGTAATATAACCGTACTGAGAAATTAACGCGTCTAATTTATTTTACAATATAAAAACCGTTTACAAATTTAATATTTATTACCTTTTTGATATTTTATATTTTTCTACTATCTTTGATATCTTATCTGTCCAATTATTATTAATTTATAAATGTTATGAGTTTTAATATTTGCATAGCACGAGCCTTGGATAAATGATAACACTGAAGAATCGTCGGCTGATGAATTCGGTCTTCGGTCCAGTTGGCGAGCATTGAGAGTGAGAGTGACCACTATCAAAGGTTACATCTCAGTGCGGTGTGAAGCTACACAACCCACCAGGCCGCCTTACACACGGTCGGCGAACGCGACTCTTAACATAGCACGTTCACCACACCTGTCTATGTATACTGCGTCTGGTATGTAGATTTTGGTTACCATTTACGAAATATTTTAATCACTTTATAAACTGATTGTAACTTTTGTCGTCAGGTTCCAGTGTCAAACAAGCTATTGGAGTTGCAACTCTATGTATGTCACTACACATATTCTCTAAATTCAGTGCCTTGTGTAAAGTGTAGTCGATGATTGAGGTTGGTGATTGTAAAAAAGATTAGCATTTAGTTAGATACATTTTTCACCCACGTCAAGGACAATTTGTAAATATTAATAAAGTTGTTAAATATTTTCATCTAATATTTTTTTGTTTTGTATTACTGAACTCGAATGTAAATAAAATAATCGAAAATAATATTAATTAATCGCTGGCAGATTACAAAATTGAAATAAACGTAAACATATAATGAGATAAATGTTTTTAAAAAGAGTTTCCTTTTTAATTTATCTGTTTTGTTTGTTTTTATTGCTATCAAAAGCTTTTAGTCTGAAGCCCCGAGCTCTTACAAAAGAAACTCTATTAAGATCAACTCGATCCAAACTGTGCCATTTTGTTGTTTTTTTATTATTATTGCACTTGTATTTCTTTTGTTTGACACAATTATGTATTAATTAAAAATAAAGTAATAGAAAGCAATTAGGAACTCATATTATATGTAATACCGAAAACCTGTGCCATCACCTTTTCTCTTATTAATTCGTAACTTCTAAATATATTCCTGATGTGGGTGAAAATAATCATAAAGAAATATATAAATGAAAATTAAATTATTCTATAAATATAGCAAGCACTGAATTTCGATGTTTTATTACACGTAAATTTTGTAATTATATTTACATATGTTGCGACGAGCCGGTGTTGGAATTACTGTAATATAAAGATATAAATGTTTTTAATATGCTAATTCTAATTTGCAACGAGATGTTCACTTGTTTATTTTTAAGATTGATAGATGTAAATATTTGTTTAAGATGTTTAATTTAAATGTAGCCATCGAATGATTCAATATAGCCATCAAAAATTGTGTTCCAATAAGACAAAAATAAGGAAAGTATTATTTATTTATTTATCTCTGCTAAAATGTTTAATGATCAGGATTCATTTCTTTTAAATTATTGGCCATACAGTTATAAGTTATTATAATTTACTATTAATAACTCGACCCATAAGCTACGATATTTTAAAATAACTTAATTCTTTCAAAAAACATACGAGATTTGAATGTTAGGTCACATTGAATTTATCCGTCCGCAAGCAAAATATTTCATTCGCGAATTTCGAATAATCGTTATTACAATAACAATCTTTCTGATTTTACTCCATTTAGTTCTTTACTGATAGACATATCCATTATATCTTCTTTGATATCAACTGTATTGATAATTTTCGTATTACTGTAATACATTGAAGTAGCTGAAATTTCAAATAAAATGCCTTTTAATAATACAGCACCCAATTTATATTTTGAAAGATTCAATTCCAAGAGCTAGTAACATTTTTGATCGAACACACTGGTTGTGTAAGCATTTGAGAAACTTCTATATAAATCTACAAAGAAATTGCTTACTGAAAAGAAAATTCCTGTCATAAATGCAGTACATTCAAGCATTTTTGGGTTTGAAACATATGTTATGGAATTGTCGGAATACAATGCATTTTAATGTTTTAGTTCTAAAACGTTTGTTCGTATACATTCGATTTAGAATATAAAGTACTGTTTACAATGTTATTTACATGCGCGACTGATATACAATTTTAAAAGATATTTTCGTCAATCGTTAAGTCATGATCAAAAATTGTAAAAACAGAGAGGAAGCAAAGTTGGTAAGTTATGCTTCGAACGATTATCAGTGCATTTTTAGTTTCATAATAACAAGAAATAATAAGAACACTTTATTAGTTTTAAGCGGTAAAACTGTGAGGATCTCGTTTATATATTTCAACAAAATACCTTAATTCGTTTGACCTTTCGATGGCTGAGGGCGGTCATCAATTAATTGGAACACTCAATGTTTTCAGAGCAATTAATTTAAACTCAGTATGTATGTAAAGATACACTTTCATTGTGGCTTTGTTTATATGAATAGAAACAAGTAAAACGTTCTGTGTTGTAATCTGTTACGTCTTGAAATAATTCTTCCTTTTTTATGAAGACGCCATGCTAAAAGTACGCAGGAATAAAGAAAGTTGGACATATACAAGACATTCATTATATTTTAGTTATAATTTTTGAACTCCACTATCATTCACTTGTTAACGAAATAAATTTAAGGGTCGAGTTAACATCGTGCCAAAAACTAAATTTAAATACAAATTTACTGTAAATACAATTTATGTAAATCCATTAAAATAGAAATTAATACGTCTTAACTAATATAAGGTTGAATTATGTTTGAATATAAGATGGAGATAAATTACTAAAATAAAAATTTAACAACCAAGAAATTTAATTTATTTTTGAAATTAACGATTCAGAACCATTGTTAAATTATCTATATAATTATTATAATATAATGTATTTTGAAATCGTTAAATCTCTAAAAATTACATTATTTAGCAACAAATCGTATATTACTTAGAGATAACAAAATGTGATAAAACTATTATTTCTAGCAAAAGTATGTACACGAATGATGTTGAAGGTTAAGAGAGATTGACCGATGGTTGCGGTGGATTCAGGTCATGACCCAAGAGTCCAATATTTGCACCAAGATACGCATATTTGCCCTGGACCCCAAGTAGGTACGACTCGGCTTAACATTGTAATATATTAATACTTTACGTGATATGTTTCATTTAATTCGTATTATTATATATACATATGTAATTTAGTAATTTATCTCTAATAAATGTTATGTGTTCTGATTAATGTGTACCGTATTTTGTTTTATCATGTGATCGTCTTTTTGATGCGTATAGTCAATTTCTAGCACTATCAAATTGTTCTGTGATACATGTGTTTATTAGTTTGTATGAAATACGGACTATTCAACCATTTGCTGAATAAATAACAGACTTAAAATTTAAAAAGAAATCATTAACAGGCTACATGTTTATAGTCTGTTATATATGTTATAGTCCGTTATATTTATTATGTAACACTGTATCTAGCTCATTGTCAGATGGTTGAGTAGACTTATGTACTTGTGTATTACATAATATATATTCTTAATGGCGGCAAATAAAATTCAACTAAATAAAGGTCATTTTATTGCTCAACCACATTAGAAAAATGGATTCAAATTGTCATACGGAATCGTTGCATTAAGCAATTGTGAAGCTTATTTATATTAATTAAAAAAAAAAATAACCCTTAATTTGAAAAGATAAACTAATACCTAGTTAAAGTACATAAACATGGAAATCTATAAAAATATACATTTGCTGTTCAAAAGATATTTTCTTCACAGATAAATATAATATTATATGTGACTCTACGAGACGTTTGAAATAGCATTTTGAGATGGTATCGTGCGAGCCAGCGCTGTAGGGAAGCCATTAGAGAAACAACGATAAAGCCCGATTAAGCCCGTCTTTGGCTTTAATAAATTTTCCACGAATTGTCCTTGAGATAAGTAAAAACGTATTTGATAGTTTCATCTTCTTTATTACTCTGGAATCATTCTGATAAACTGATTTATATTATATTAACGCATATTGTTTTGGAATTCTCAAAGCGTTCTTGGAACAGAAATGCTTTTAGAGAGAAACATAAACACAATTTATACGGAACATAAAATTTGAAAAGAGTTTTATTCGTTTCTCAAAATTTGTTATTATTGAAAATATAATATATACTTTTAATGAAATAATATTACAGTTTCATTAATCAGTTTTCATGAGAAATTTAATTTGGCATCACTTTTTTCACTTCTTAACAAATTTTAACCCTTCTTTTGTTGTATTCTCCTCTTATATTTCAAACGACTAAAATGTAACAGTGTTACTTTTTGTCTTTGTTAATTTTAAAGATGTTAGTCACTCTATTAGGCTTGTTGAACACAATAAAAAATCATCATAAATAATCGTTTTATCTTTTTCATTGAATCGACACGATTTAATTTCATAAACAATAATTTAAAATAAAAAAAACATATTACTTTTTAAGTCATCAATGATATAACAAACACCTTCAGATTATTTTTATTTCATTTAATAATATCCATATAACAAAATGTAATATTTCCTTGTTAGATCATCTATTACTTTCTATTGAGTTTGAGGCCTCTCGAAGATTATTATCGCTGCCATAAGAGCCACATGTGGCGATCGTCTCAACACAATGTGTATATTTCGATAGAGAATATTTCTCACAAAACTTTACTTATATTTATATTGTATATATGAAAAATTTTCTTATACATATCTTTTATACTTGAGTATATTGTTACGCAATTGAACGCCCATCGGAGCTCACATATTTCTAGGAAAATTTGTATTCCTCTTTACAGATGAAATGATAAGATTTGTTATAAAAAAATCATCCTACATATTAGGACGTAGCATAGATTTAATTTTGCTTAAATGTAATTATATTATTTTAATAATTATCTTTTTGTGCATTTATTTTTCTATGCATTCAAATTGGCAATTGAAGCCAACCATGTCTTATATTGCTGAAATTTACAAATAATTTTTATAACTGAAAGAATATTAAGTATAATATCTACGTTAAAATGAATGAAATATGTCTTGTATAAGATATTCAATGATAAAAATACTGGTTATTTAGCAGGTTATCTAAAGTTTAGCTTAAAACAAGTCATTAAAATCTAAAATATACATTAATTCATTGTAAGACTGCTTGATGGATATAACATAATCGAAAAGTTTATTTTGAATTTACAATGTACATACATATGTATAGTATAAATAAACTTGAACAAAAAATTACCTTATTTAATTGAAGGTGATAAATATTGTGTATTTACATATTTATTTATTTTTTTATTCAATTTAATCTCATTTATTCTACATTATATTATAAAATAAAATTTCAAAGTATTATGACTTTTCTGTCTGTGAAAAATGTGTGACATTTAAGGATAATAATTGAACAAAACCCACCTGAAACAACTGCGATCGTATACATTCTTCGTAATTATTGAAATATACAATAAGATAGATAAATAATAGTCAAAATATAAATTTAAATAATATATTTTTACAATTGTTAGCATATAT